AAAATAAAAAAAAAAAAACAAAAATAGGAAGGCATTACTGTTTTACTGGAGGAAAAAATAATAAAAATATATAGCCACACTGAAATTTAATAGTAAACCCCAGAATATTCTTCCCGAGACATTCTTCACAGTCACACACTATAGAGGCAGGGGGAAGGGAAAGGAAAAAAAAAAAAAAAAAGAAAACAATAATAGGATCATAGCATTGGACATTATCTTACAGATATCTGATACTACCACTCATCCAAGGAAGGATTCCTTTATGTCAGGCCCTTGACATACATTCATCCTACCACTGCCTGAATATTTCCAGTAAGAGTAAATTTACTACGTGAAAAACACAGCCCACACATCCCATTATGCACAATTCTAATTAACAAAACTCTTTCTCATTCTGAGCCAAACCTTCTTCCCTGTGAGACATGTATCTGAGGATGCCATTCTGAAGCAGAAGTTTACAACCAGGGGACCTCAAAGATAGGAAGATACTCCAGTAAGTTACAGTCGATATAACAAAAGGTCCATTTGATTTACAATGACTAAAATTACATCTGGTCAGCATGAGATAAACCACCTTGAGTTATTTACATAAATGCTTTGCTATAAGGTTGTCCCAGAGCCTAATACAGCACCTGGTACATATTAGGTGCTCAAGAAACGTTTACTGACTCAAAGAATAGGGCACAAGTCAGAGATTCATATAATGCGTTCTTTTCCCCTACCATCTACGCACATACAAATAACAAATGCTATTAAAATTTTGTACAAAAAGTAACAGAACACAGCCCCCACTCTGAAAAGAAATACCTGCATAACTACCCAAAGTGGATGCCTCTTCTGTACAGGCATATTCTCCATTCATTCAACACACACTTAGTGACTACTCTGTGCCAGGCATAGTGAAAAGACTAGAAAATACAAGAAAAAAACAAGATGTCCTCAGAAGGGCAGGGCTTACACATTAATTGGAGGGAATTTTAAAGTAGATTATATATGTTACATAAATTATATAATATATATAATTACATATAGCAAACATGTTTTAATTGCATCAAATATGAAAAAGAAAGTTAATGGCTACAGATAAAAATCATAAATTGGTAAGAAAAATGAGTTCCCAATAGATGGAGAAATGCCATAAGCATACAATTTTCACAAACTGAAAAACAACTGATCAACACAGAAAATATACATAACCCTGAGAGCTAAACAAAGAAATACAAGGTAAAACAAGGTAACATTTCTACCAATTTATTTAAGTTAAAAAAAACTCAACTTGAGAGAGGTAATGATGAAAAACTAGTTATATATACACTGCTGATGGTAGCATAAATTAAAACAACTTCTTGAAGAGGCAAACTGTTCATACTCTGACCCAAGGTATGCCTTCCTAGAAATTTAATAAGTAATTAAAAGTAAGAAAAAAATATGTGCTAAGACAATGGTAAGAAAATTAAAGTTTATAATGGCAAAAAAAAAGGAAAAGATTTTCATATCAAAGACTAAGTAAATAAAATATTATACGGCCATTAAATTTTTAATTACAAAGTCTATCAAAACAATATGAATAATGTCCACTCTAATAAGTGAAAAAGTACCAGAATATAAAATTCTGTGGACATTTGTTAGGGTACTTGAGGAATAAAATACATATACCACACACACACACACACACACACACACACACAGAGGCTATAAAAGAACCAGCAGAGATGAAAATACTGACGTTTTCAGATCTGAAGTTGTAGGTGATTTTTATTTCCCTTATTACTAAATTATTTGTATTATTAACAAAAATCAGGAGGGGAGAAAAGCCCTCACACAAAGTCCAAGGTGAACTACATTACAATGAATTAGGTGGCCAACGGTAAATGAATACCTCAAATAATTGTTTCTTGGATTTCATATTCATATAAAGGAAAAAGAAATAATTCTTTTTTTTTTTTTTTTTGAGACGGAGTCTCGCTCTGTCGCCCAGGCTGGAGTGCAGTGGCTGGATGGATCTCAGCTCACTGCAAGCTCCGCCTCCCGGGTTCACGCCATTCTCCTGCCTCAGCCTCCCGAGTAGCTGGGACTACAGGCGCCCACCACCTCGCCCGGCTAATTTTTATTTTTTTAGTAGAGACGGGGTTTCACCATGTTAGCCAGGATGGTCTCGATCTCCTGACCTCGTGATCCGCCCGTCTCGGCCTCCCAAAGTGCTGGGATTACAGGCTTGAGCCACCGCGCCCGGCCGGAAAAAGAAATAATTCTCACGCCCAAATAAAAGTAGCACAAGGTGGCTACAAAAAGAAAACTGAAAAAGGTTAACTCGGAGATGAATATCTGGAAATACTCCCTAACAGTAAAAATCATCAGACTGTAGCATGGTATCCTAGGCTAAGTTCCACTGCTAGGGCATTTAGAAGCAACGCCCTAGACACCATACTTTAGGAATCAGTCCTAAGCTGGCACCACAGAGACCCAGAGTGGTCTCATGAGGTTTTTCCATCACACAATTTGGTTGGCTAATCTATAAATACATGACATTTGCACATAAACACTAAGTTTTTCATACTAAGCAAAAGAACAACAAATCTTACCTGGGAAGTGCCAGACAGAGCCCTGCCACCCTGTACTTGGGTAGAAGACACAGGTATCAATCGGCTGCATACTGGAACCCACTGGGAAATGCTAGTCTGGTTCCTCTAGAGAAAGAAAAAAATAATCTGTCAGGAATCTAAATCATACTCCCTACATGGAAGGCAAAGAGTATACCTGTGACAGTCATATAATTAGAAATACATATTTGGTCTTCATCTCTAGTTCCTGGCACAGAGCTCCTAAAACCCTTGGAATTTCTGAGTGATGGGGCTGTCTGTAACTCATAATAAGCCCCTTTCAACCATACCTGAGTTTATGCTAATGAGGTGATTCATGCAGGATGGAGGCTGGTTGCCAGAGGAACCAACCACAGGAGTAGAGGGTTGGAATTCAACCTCAACTCCTCACGGCATCCCCACTTCATTAGAGACTAAGCCAATCGCCAGTACCCAGTGATTGAATCAATCATGCCAACCATAAACCTCCATAAAAATTCTAAATGACAGGGTTCAGAGAACTTCTGGTAGAGATGAAAAACTCTTTTTTCTATACTCAACACTCCACTTCTGATACCAAATGTGCAGGGGCAAGAGGTCTCCATACCAAGCAATTCTCCAATTCTCTGCAGACACCAACTGGGTGTCCTACAATTTAACTTAATTCTTACACTAACTGCCTGGAGTCAGCAGAGACCTCACAGCTCCATCCAACAGGATTGTCCCCACTTCAGACTCCCATCACAAGTAGTGAGTCCCCAGGTTACTCACACTTTTGTCCAACTTGTTCATACATTGGGGATTCCCACAGCTGCCTCCTCAGATTCAATAATTTGCTAGCACGGCTCAACTCGGGGAGGCACTTCACTTACGTTTATCAGTTTATTATAAAGGATACGCCTCGGGAAGAAGAGCCAAATGGAAGCGATGCAAAAGACGAGGTATGGGGTGGGAGCCTGCTCTCCGGGTGTGCCACCTTCCCTACATTTTGATATATTTACTAACCCAGAAGTTCTCCAAACCCAAGGATTTCTATGGAGGCTTCATTATGTAGACATGATTGACTATCACTGACCATTGGTGATTAGCTCAATCTCCAGCCCCTCTCCCCTTCCAAAAGTCAGGGAGGAGTGGGAGAAGCTACAAGTTCCAACCTTCTACTCACATATTTGTTCCTCTAGCAACCAGCCTCTACCCTCCAAGAGACACCTTATTAACACAAACTCATTGCTGGGCATAGAGGCTCATGCCTTCACTCCTATTATCTCAGCATTTTTGAGAGGCCGAAGCAGGATTACTTGAAGCCAGGAGGTCGAAACCAGCCTGGGCAACAAAGTGAGACCCCCGGCTATACAAAAAAAAAAAAAAACCCCATAAACTTACATATTGTTGAAAGGGGCTTATTACAAACAACAAAAGACACTCCTCTCACCCCAATCACTTTGCAAGGGTTTCAAGAGCTCTGTGCCAGGAACCAGGGATAAAGACCAAATATATATTTCTTCTCTCACAATATCATATCTGGGTTGCAGCCATATGCCAGGAGGGTGGCACACTCTAATTCCACAGGGACAGAAGCGACTGTACTCAGGATCATTCCAGATCTGACCTTTAGTACCTAAGTTTAGAAATTCTGCCAGAATAGGGTATCACATGAATTAAGAACTTCCAAAACGGGACCAAGACCAAGCCTCCACATGCTCATTTCTCCAAGGATAAGATATACCACTGCCTACTACTGGTTCCACAGACTAAAATAATTCTGGTAATAGGTGACTCAAGCAGTGGGCATGGGCTCCCTCTGGGAAGAGAAACAAAATAAGCAGACTTCTGGCATTTTATGATTAGATTATAATTCAAATTACAGTTTGCAATGTCTTTTTCTTTTTTTTTTTTTTGAGGCCGAGTCTTGCTCTGCCACCCAGGCTGGAACGCAGCAGCATGATCTCGGTTCACTGCAATCTCCACCTCCCGGGTTCAAGTGACTCTTATGCCTCAGACTCCCGAGTGGCTGGGACTACAGGAATGAGCTATCACATCTGGCTAATTTCTGTATTTTTAGTAGAGACAGGGTTTCAGTATGTTGGCCAGGCTAGTCTCAAACTTCTGACCTTAATTAAGTGATCTACCTACCTCGGCCTCCCAAAGTGCTGGGATTACAGATGTGAGCCACTGTGCCTGGCCTCTTTTTTTTTTTTTTTTTTTTAAGAGACAGAGTCTCACTACATTGCCCAGGCTGGAGTCCAGTGCCTAGTCATGGTGCTAACATTGCACACTACAGCCTCAAATGCCTGATTCCTGGGCTCAAGTGATCCTCCCACTTCAGCTTCCCAAGTAGCTGGGACTAAAGGCTTGCATAACCTGTGCCTGGCTTACAGTGTGTTTTCATAAACACTGACTTCCTTACCTGATCTTCATAGAATCCCTTTATAGTAAGCAATGCTGAGATCATCATCATCCCCAAAAGGAGGAGGAAACTAGGGTAGAAGTTTTACAGTGGGAAAACACACACGGGCAACTGGATTTCCAAGACAAGAGAGATTACATGGCTGTTCAAGTAGAAACTGAGATTCACAATTTCCCTCTAACATGAAGCTCACTTCAGAAAGGTCTCTTGGCCAAAGGGAGAGGCTAGGCTGGAGAAAGGGAGAGTTCTGTCTTGTTAAATGAGAAGTCTGCTTTATTTTAAGAAGCTGAAATACATTCTACTGTATAAATGACAGCCATGTACATAGCACTGAAAATCTTAATTTTAGGAACCAACTCTAGGGATCTGAGGGTTTTCTTCACTTGACCTGTAGACCTTATAGGGCCATAATGAGGACCGCACACATAAATTGCTTGAAAATCCTTTGCAAGGCATGATGTACAACACAGTCAGCCCTCCACAGCCATGGGTTCTACATTCATGGATTCAGCCATCCACAGATTAAAATATTCAGGAAAAAAAAAAGCCAGGCATGGTGGCATGTACCTGTAGCCCCAGCTACTCTGGAGGCTGAAGCATAAGAATCACTTGAATCCAGGTGGCAAAGGTTGCAAGTGAGCAGAGATTGTGCCACTGCACTCCAGCCTGGGCAACAGAGAGGGAGACTCTGTCTCAAAAAACAACAAAAAAAAATCAGGCCAGGTAGCTCCTGTAATCCCAGCACTTTGGGAGGCCGAGGCAGGTGGATCACGAGGTCAGGAGATCGAGACCATCCTGGCTAACACGGTGAAACCCTGTCTCTACAAAAAATACAAAAAAATTAGCCGGGTGTGGTGGCGGGCGCCTGTAGTCCCAGTTACTCAGGAGGCTGAGACAGGAGAATGGCATGAACCCGGGAGGCGGAGCTTGCAGTGAGCTGAGATCACGCCACCGCACTCCAGCCTGGGCGACAGTACAAGACTCTATCTCAAAAAAAAAAAAAAAAAAAATCAGGAAAAAAAAAGATGCCATACTAAACATTTACACTTTTTTTTCTCGTCATTACTCCCTAAATAATACAGTATAACAACTATTTACATAGCACCTATATTGTATTAAATGTAAGTAATCTAGAGATTATTTAAAGTACATAGGGGGATATACATAGGTTATATGCAAACACTATGCCACTTCGTATCAAGGACTTGAGCATCCATGGATTTTGGTATCCGAGGGAGGTCCTGGAACCAAAGGACCAGGAATACTCAGGGACAACTGTACTAGCAGTCAAAGATTCTAGTTTAAATTCAGCTACTCTAATATTATCTTTACAAGTAATTTAATCTCTGTGACATTCAGTTTCCTCACAGCAATTATCAGGAATACTTAATGAGCATTTGATGGCAGGCACTTTTTTGATACTTTACATATATGAACTCATTTAAACTTCACAATCACCACTCATGTAGGTATACCATTATCCCATTTATATAAAAAAGGAAACTGAGGCATGGAGAGGATAAACAACCTCCCAATATCACACAGTTCTAACAGCAGGATTAAGATATGAACCCAGGGATGAAAGGGTAGAGTATCTGCCAGGTACCTTCTAGCTGTAACATTGTATGACCTAGTCTGGAACCAATTAAAACAGCATATTGTGGAAAGTGCCACATAACTAAAGGCAGAAAGTACTGTTCAGAAGCTACATATCAGATAATCACCTCTGTGAGCCTTGGTTGTCTCTTTTTATCAAAAATAAGACAAAATCCCTACTTCTTGGGATTTTCTTTAAAATTAACAAATGTACCTTGCAGTATGTTCAGCACAATATTAAGTTGAATCTGAATCTCCATTTCCTCAAGTAGACAGTAACAGGTTGAGGTGGGGGGAGAAAGGCATTAAATTTTTAAACCTACAGATGCTTTCTAAAGTGTCTCACAGTTCTAAAATTGTATAATTGCCACTTACAGCACCTTATATTTCAAATGAAAAGTGGAGCTAAAAATATTTTATTTGAGCTGCGGTTTGATCGGTTGAAGTGGTTTTCCAAGTGAGAGACAGTTACTGGTGTTTTGTTTTACAAACACTGACAGATTTACTAGAATCATTCAATGTCAGATGTTCCTGTCCTAAAAATGTTAAGTATGGGATAAGAGGAAACTGCTTCAGATTCAGGGCCAAGGGCGGGGGGGCAGGGGGAGCAAGAGGAAATTACAAGTTGAAACAATGCAAACTTTTGGAAGATTTTCTGAAGAATTTCATCATGTAATTTCCAATGTCAACAAAATTTTTCTCTGTAATTTTGGCTCCGGTTGGTCTTAGGCCATTACTTTTAAATCAGTTCTTATTAGAAGAAAGGAACAATCAGCTGTTCTTTCCTTCTCCAATTCTGCAATTCTTGTCCAAATCCTTAATTGAAACCACTGAAGTGTAGCAGAAAAGGTAATCCCAAGTCAGCCATCAAATAGCTGTGAACTGGTTACTCAACAATCTGGGCCTCCATTTTCCCTTATGAAAAATGGGAATAATAAAAGCTATCTCATAGAAGTGTTCCCAGGAACATTTCTAAAAGCACTTTGGTAACAGAAAAACACAACCAATGGCATCACTGTTATGAACAACGGTTATTGAATTATGCAAGCCCTGCTTTCCCCAGCAAACTGACAGAGAAGCAAAAACCGTTTTCTTAAAATATTGT